GGGGTGACTGCTCGATTTAAATTAAATGACATTGTTCTTTTCTTCAAATTGTGATTCCTCCGACTCCAAAACGGGGGAAAAACGATCGTTCATCGAAAAGACATCCGCAATCTTCAGTTAATAGATTTAGATCTAGATTCTAGGTCTCTAGATTCTAGATCTAGATATAGGCTAGCCTCGAAACTAGATCAATGATTTATATCTGTCAGTCTGGATCTAAACCTAGGCCATAGATCTAGAAGAACCTAGTTTTTTTTACCCTGAGCCAAGAGGGCGCTGGAACTTTCCGAAATCACAAAAGAGTTCCCCTACCGGGTCTGTATACTTTGTGACTTTGTTCCCGGTTACCGGGTCTGTATACACTCCCTTTTAAAAAAAATTATTTTTCTTTCTTTCTTTTTCTTGCCACTTCTGTCCCCTTCTTCTTGAACTTTTGGAGTTTGGAGCCAAAAAAGAGCCAGAGAGCCAAATGAAATTCTCCAGGCCAGATGCAATCCAAAAGAGCCAAATTTCTGGGATTTGGCTCCAATTTGACAACCCTGACTGTAACCTCAGCCCTGATCCATCTTGGGTCATTTCCGGTAAAACAAGGGAGGGTATGAGAATAACGAGACAGGTTATTCTCACCCGGGGTGAGAATAACCACTTCCTAAGTTACTAGATATGGCTAGGCGTTGATTTTGTAATTCCGTTTGTTAAAATCCGTGATCCATTTGTTTAATATAGGCTGGCACTATTTCTCCGAAGGCTCGGGAAAATATACTTGCTTTATTTCTCCGAACGGTTTCCGTTATCAAGGTTTTTTGGTTATTTGCGAATGAAGTGGCCTAGGCGCAGGGTTGGGTTGATTTAAATCAGGTCGATTTAAATCAGTTGATTTTTAAAATTTAAATCAACTTGATTTTTAAAATAATAATCAGTGATTTAAATCACTTTTAAAAAAATGTATTTTTATTCAGTTTTTACATATTTCAACATTCAGAATTCCTTTCCTTGGTTTCATAAAACATAAGGTTTAGTAGACTATTATAATCATGCTTAAAAGTCTGCTTTCCCCAGGGTTGAGTTGATTTAAATCAGTTGATTAAAAAAATTTTTTTTAATCACCTTGATTTTAAAAACAAAACTCAGTGATTTAAATCACTTTAAAAAAAAATGTATTCTGTTTTTACATCTTTAAACATGCATTCAGAATTCCTTTCCTTGGTTTTGTAAAACAGATCATATACGGTTTAGTAGACTAATATAATCATGCTTAATGTTTAAAAGTCTGCTTTCCCCCTGTCATTGTAAAATAATACAGTATTCAATTTACTTTTTTTTCATAATTGAAATTAGCATTTTCTTTTTCTTTTTAGACAAACACAAGCGCACACACACATACACACACTGTAATAAAATGCAAGTTTATCTATGCATAATTATTAATTACCCCCCCATCCTTCCTTTTAGACTGGCCTTTTTTTTCATTTTTTGTCTGTAGCCATAATTCACTGATATAGCAGATTAAGGCTTTCTTTTGCAGTTGCTTAAATTAATCATTAGTTAAAATAAAGACAATGCATTTTGCACTAAAAGAACATATACTTTTAACCACCAAAAAATCCCAAACTGTGTCGACATTAAAAAAAAAATGTAAAAAATCCAATTTAAATAAACAAAATCTGATTTAAATTTAAAAAATCAATTTTTTAAATTTTTATTAAAAATATTAAAAAAATCATCAACCCTGCCTAGGCACATGTGTGTGTTGTGTGTGTGTATGTGTTTTCATGTGCGTGTGTGTGTGTGTGTGTAAGGTGTGAACATGGGGGGGGGGGAATGGAGGATTTTAAAAAATATTTTAGTCTTTGCTTTAGGGGTGACTAAATGCAAGATAGGTTACTGCCAAAGTCGAGCAGTCTTGTTTCCTCGTAGTGCCTTTTGAAGGCATTTTCAAATGAAGTATAGTCCGGGAACGTTGCCCCAACCACAATTGAAGTGTATCTATGGATTCAGTTATCTAATAACCGCTGTGCTTTTTCGGTACTTCCCACCCTTCAATTGTTATTCGCAGGTTTTGGCCCCAAGAGTAGGTGGGTTTCAGCCTGACTGAATAAAAACAAGGCCCTCACTATTTCTCCGAACGTTCGGGAAAATAAAGCTAAGCACTAATTCTCCGAACGTTCGGCAAAATAAAGCTAGGCACTATTTCTCCGAACTTTGGGAAAATAAAGCTGGGCACTATTTCTCCGAACACTCTGAAATCACATCCTTTCCCGCATATTTGGGATATTATATAGATCTATAATTATAGTATAGGCCTACCAAAGATTGTCGTATACAAAATGGTTCAATCAGTCCAAAAAATGTCTGCAGTAAATATTTATATATAGAAATGCTACAGTTCCAAACAGTTTTTCGCTAGAGTATGACGTGTTGCCTATGAGGGGTGCTGCTCTTAAACTTAATATGTTGTGTTCACTCGTGTGCTATCTAGATCTAGATCTACGGAGGGTTATTGATAACGACACATAGAACTAGCATCTGCGTTTGTCGCGGCCGCGACCAATCAATCGTGGCTTGATTTTTTGGTCCTCGAATCGGGGAATAAAAGTCAAATTAAAGAAAAAAAAGAAAGAAACCGAACCTCTTTACTTTTGAAAGAAAGTTCACCTAGCTTCACTTCGTCTCTTTCTCGAATGTTGTCACCACGTTGATTTGTTGAATACGTTCCATGCAGCTACTTTTATTTTTTCCTCTTTGTGGTGTTTTATTTTGTAAGTGTGAATTTTTTCTTTCTTGTTATTGTTCTGATGTGTTGTTTTTCTATCAATTTTTTTTTGTTTGGGAAAAAAAGGGGGGGGGGGGGGATGTTGTATGGTGTAACGTCATTTAATTTGATGTTCCTACCTTCATTAGATTCTATATATATATTAGGCTATATATATTATATATAGGCTATGATATATATATATATATATATATATATATATATATATATATATATATATATGTATATATAGATTTAAATATGTTATGTTAGAGCGTACGTTCCACCAAAACCGATTACATGTACTGACACTGGCAGGCCCCTTAATGTGTGTGATTCCATAATTTACATGTAATATCCTGTACTTTGTTTTAAAATTACCCGCATTTAGGGTTAAAACAGCCAATCTTCTTCGGACAGGTGGACTCACGCCCTTATTTGTTATTTTTTGTGGTTGTTTTTGGGCTGTTCTAATTTTGATTTCATTCGGTTGTGAAACCTTTATTTTCACATTTTTACACTCATCTAAAAATCTCTAGACTAGCTCTTGAAAATTGAAATAAATATAGACCTAAAAATTTTCTCCTGTGTGTGTGTGTGTGTGTGTATGTGTGTGTGTGTGTGTGTGTGTGTGTGTGTGTGTGTGTGTGTATGTATGCATGTGCGTGTGTGAGTGTGTCTGTGTGTGGTAGTAAGTGTGTAAGTGGAGAGTGAGGAGCGTGTGTGTGTTTGTTTTTCGGGCTTTATTTCAGCCTTTATTCAGTAACAGTTCAAAGTATACAAAAATAGAAACACAGGATCCATTCACTCCAGGGCTCATAGTCGTTCCTCTCTTTCAGTTTCACTCATTCATTTAATTCCCGTGTTCTCTCCCGCGGCTCATCCCCGTCCGCATGACTTTCACACCCTACCCCCTCCCTCCAGGCACACACAAAGAAAATATCACTCATTCCCTTGCACCCTGCGAGCCATGGACAATAATATTAGCAAAACACTGCCTTAGCTGCATTCCTTTCGTTCGTGAGCTGTGGACTAGGCCAGGGGGGTCGGTGTCGTCGCCTTGTAGTTGCTGTTGCCTGTGGATACACTCGTTCATTTTTTCTTTCACATGCTCTGTCACTCACACTGTCTCTCCATCCACAGCTCAGCTCGTCATATGTTCAAAAGTTGCCCACTGATCATGTTTAGTAATTGTGTGTATAAGTTTGTGTGTGTACATGTGCATGATGGTGGTGGGTGTCTCGTGGGTGTTACAGAAGGTTGTCTGTAGGCGGGCTTGCCATGCGGTGTTCCTTCCCAGACCAGAGGCAGAATGAAAGATGGCGCCGAACTCTCGCAATAAATAGGCAAAAAATCACGAGACCGGAAGCCGGAAACCGTTCGGAGAAATAAAGATCGGCACTATTTCTCCGAACGTTCGGAGAAATAGTCACTTCGTAAAAACAATGGTGGGATGTTTCAGGGGATTTTACCATGATGTTTTGCAGTTGTTAGGTTTATATCTTAGCTCGCCGCGCATCAAACGTATAGATCTAGATTTAGATCTAGGCTCAAATACAGGGGGTGGGAACTACCGAAAAAGTGCCAAAGTCTCTAGCTCTAGAAATTGAATTCGATGCAAAAAATACATCTTCCTAGTCCTCGCAGAATGGCAGAATGAAAGATGACGCCGAACTCTCGCAAATAACCCAAAAATCTCGAGAACTTTCGGAGAAATAAAGATCCGGTTTATTTTCCCGAGCGTTCGGAGAAATATCGTCGCTTCGTATCTAGAGAAGAAATCGGAAAGTCTAGAAGAACCTAGGTCTACCCTGAGCCAAGAGGGTGCTGAAACTTTCCGAAATCACAAATTTTAAGAGTTCCCTTACCGGGTCTGTATACTTTGTGACTTTGTTCGCGGTTACCGGGTCTGTATACACTCCCTAATTTATTAGATTCTATTTTTGTTTGTGAGTGTCTGTATATCATTGTCAAGAGCGTGAGGGATATCGTATGAAATGGGTAGGCTGCTATACACCATGAAACAGAAATGTGCTTGTGTGACTCTCCAGAAGTAGTGTTTTATCTTTAATGATTATAACAGTAATTGCCCGAGGCTTTTGTAGTGTTCTTTAAATCCTTTTTTTGCACTTTTCATTAAATTTGATCTTTTAAAGTCATTTCGCTACCCTAGAATTACAAGAAAGTTCTTTCTATCCCTGCTAAGTACCCACTTTTGAGAAATTTGACGTAAAAAGTTTTTTGAGTTTCACAAAACGTCAAGCTTTTTCGAATGCCATTCTTTGAGTATGACAGAGCAGATAGAACGTTTGGTTTCTGACCTCAAGGTCTTGGTAACTAAATGGCCAAAAATGTCAGATGGAACTTCGTAATTGTAATTAATGTATTGTAAGGCTATTTGACTGTTAATGTTATGTTATAATATTTATTAATTATACACGAACACTTTTGTCGCAACCCACATCTTACCATCTGAAAAGTTCTTTTTTTGTTTTTGTAAAGTGTTTTACGGCGCTCGCAACTACATAAGGTCATATGAGCGTGCGGGACACACCTAATATTTTCAGTTGGTAGGAAATTTTGAATTTTTGCCCGGGTGGCGGCCGAAGCCTACTCTTATTGATTTTATACCATCAAGGGATCTTTAACGTGCGCAACTTGCACACGGGCCCTCTGAAATTTTTCGCCCTTGTCAGAGAAGGCTAGGTGTAGATCTTTCCTACCAGAAGATCAGGGGTGTGGCTGAAAGACAGCAGTAAGAAGAAGCGAAGGAGTACCATAGAAAGGCTGCAGATGGAATCAGGAGCCCAGAGGAAGGGGCAAAGGAGGTGAGGGGGTGGGGGCACAAAGAGGAGACGAAAGCAGACGACAGAACATTGCTAGAGAGCAGGAAATGAGGTGAAAGGAGACAAATCTAGAGAAGAAAATTTTTCGGTCACTACCCGGATTCGAACCCGGGACCTTTGAATGAGAGGCCAACACCTTAACCTCTAGGCTACGAGAGCCCCCCCTTCTTTTTTGTCCTAAACTTTAGTGGATTTCATTTGTCTGGTTAAAGTTAAAATACATGTTTGTCTAACATTTTTGTATGTAAGTATAATATAACTATTTTGGCATTTATGGCACAACTTTGATTCAGTAGTCTGCAATAGTCAAAGAATGGTGCTTCAGGGCCTATTTGGGATTTATCCTCTACACAGTTCAGTTATTCTCAGACTAAAAGTTATGTATGGTTTGATGGCTCAGGATTATTGTATTCGTTGTCTTTGATGTAGTCTGTTGTCAGTGAAATGGGAATTCTTTTTGACAACTACTGGTGTTGGTATTTTGAATTGCAAACGCCTAATTTGTAACTTTAGCTGTTTTAATTTCAGTCCAGGTTTAGAATCAATTACTTTGTTGCCTTGAGTATTTCAATTTTGCAAAGTAGACTACCTTTTTTTGTTGTATTTTTCCATTTCTCAGATTTTTACCTGTGACAGCTATATTATTTTGTTATAGATTGCTCTTTGGAATGTGAATTATTGAACAAGGATTACATCATCAATTATCAATGGCTTTCACCCCTGGCAGGGTAGGCCAAGCTCCTTCCATAGTTATCTCTGTCCTGGGCCACCCTTCCAAGCTTGTTCCAAGTGAGCTTCATCTCTCTCATGTCCCTTTCCACGCATCTCCTCCATGTTTCCAGTGGCCTACCCCTGCCTCGTGCTCCTTGGGGGTTCCACTGCAGTGATTGTCTTGTATGTTTCCACCTTTCTTAAGGTGTGTCCCATCCATCGCCACTTTGTTTGTCCTATTTCTACTTCCTTTTGTCCTGTCCTTTCCCACAGCTCTTCATTTCTATTCTATCCTGCCACTTATTCTTAGAATACTCCTCGTACATCTGTTGATGAAAGTCTGGACTTTATTCAGTATTGTCTTTGTTGTCTCCTAAGTTTCACAGCCGTAGAGGAGCATAGACTTGACGTTGGAGTTAAAGAATCGAATCTTGGTGCGCAGTTAGATGTTGAAAGATTACATTATAATGTAAATCTATTTTACATTATATATCAGGATAATATAACAGAGATGTTGATGTTGATATGAAGCCTTTGAATTTAACAAACCTAATAGTTAATGTTTTTCTGGTCTCGTTTATTTATGGATGGAGATAGTGCAGACACTATATTATTTATAGTGTGGCATTGATATAGTTGGAAACTCAACTTTTTCACCACGTTTCCTTGATCAGAATTTATTTGGCGTGGTAAAGTTTCCTTGATGATGGTAACTTTTTAAATGAAATAAATTTGAATGCATTTTAGAAATAATTTTAGATCTAATTAATTTTGCCAGTAAGTTATGAGACCTGCATGATTATAATATAGATCATTGTTTTTGTTTTGAGCACAGAAATTTGCTGCTGCACTTACAAACTTCATCATCTGCTAAAAGGAAGGACGGCTGTTTAAGTGAGCTAAAGGGGATCTGGTGGAGGAGATCGGGAATAGGCTGTGAGGATGTCCGTCATGTACCGCACCCTGACAGCAGAGGAATCACAGGATTTACGTTGGGAGCTTCATTCCAGTTTACCAGGTTCTGCTAAGGTAAGTGTTCCTTCCTAGCTTTATCTGAACACTTGTACAAGTAAGATTGTGTTGTTGAAGAAATTATGAAGTTGAGGCTCTGGTTTGTCTGTGATCGTAGCAGGTTAATTTTGAGAAATATGAAATTAATGACCATCCTCTTCAATTTTTCTGTAAGGTTATGCAAGTATATGAGAATTTAGCCTGTTTGTGTTTCCCTGTTATGGTGTATTATCATTTGTGTTTGATTTCTGAGCTCCGGTGCGTGCACACGTCTTGTTGAGCATGTGATTGGACAGGGTTAATGAGGATACCCTTTTTGTATATGGGGGCATTAAATTCATACCAAATGCCTCATGTCATATTCTTTTGTTCCTCAGATTTATTATGTGTTATCGAACCATATGGACAACCTGTTGACTGGGTTTGAAGTTATCGTAGACCAATGGCCAAATTGGACATGCATCATGTTACGACCAAAGTCTTTTGAATCGGTAAACTGAAAATTTTGGTTTTTTGTTGCGTTTTTGTCAATTTTTTTGTTTGCATGGAGCTTCTTTATTAACGTGTTTGTTTTGTCCTGGTGGTTTTCCGTTTTTTAAAAATAGTTTGTTTGTTTCTTTGTTTTTTAGAAATGTTTCTTTTGTCTGTATGCCTCACTGATTTCAGATTTCCAGTTGTCAGTGTAAAAAGTGGTATGTGATGTCAATTCTAAGCATCGCCACTGCAGCAGACATGTTAAATTAACCATGTATTTTCAAAAAATGTGTCCTACAAGTTGGTCAAGTGAAATTTGTATTTACATTTTGTTATAAATAGCAAAGATAGTACATAACAAGATGGTCCACTCAGCCAAAAAAGTATCCGCCGGAAGTCCGTTCTTTGCTTCAGATGGCGCTGCAGTCTGTTTTAAAGCTCTCTTTCGTTTCTCCAGAAGAAGAATTGGAATAGCACTTCCTTGCGTGCGCAGATCGACTGCTGTTCATCAGCTGTTCGGGTTCGTTCAGTTAGGTTTTTAAAATTTTTAATGACCTCTCGCCTTTCATTCTAAAGTCAAATTAAACGAAGAAAACAGTCACCCCTTCCTTCGAAAGAGGTTTTTTGTCAGCGTAACCATTGTAAAAAAGCGTTCTTCCGAAACTTGAATTCTTATTTATTAAAAAACTTGTTGGTTTCACTTTGATTTTTCTAAACACAAGTAGGGTAACTCTGTTCCCAAAGGGTGCGCATTTGCGAAGAGAGCGCCACCGAATTTTGAGGACACTTTTTTAATTGGCTCAAAGAGAGGAGTGGACCCTCTTGTTATGTAGACTCTTTGTAAATAGAATAACAAGCTTTGTTGGTTTGTGTCTGTCAGACAAGTTTTGGTATTTAAAATCATTGTCATGTATTTTGTTGTCCAAACAGGTGCCTCGTTATTTCCGCCATTATCACATGTGCCATACTAAGAGCACTAAAGACTTCAAGTTCTTCATACAAAGACCTTGTGTTGTGGACTGGACAAAGCCAGCTATATTCACAGGTATTTAGTGTGTCTGTTCCAGAGAATAGGTGGGCTCTATTTCTCCGAATGCTCGGGAAAATGAACTTGAACTCTATTTCTCCTAACGGTTTCCGTTTTCCGATCTTGAGATTTTTTGGTTATTTGCGAATGGAGTGGCCCGTGCGTGTGTGCCTATGTGTGTGTATGTGAGAGTGTGCGTGCTTATGTGTGTGTGAGAGTGTGTGTGTGTGTGTAGGCACCTAAGGTGTGAGGGGGGGGGGGGGGGGTGAGGTATTTAAAAAAAACTTTAAAAAAAAAAGTTTTTGCTTTAGGGGTGACTAAATGGAAAATAGGTTACTGCCAAAGTCGAACAGTCTTGTTTTCTCGCAGTACCTTTTGAAGGCATTTTCAAATGAAGTATAGTCCAGGAACGTTGCCCCAACCACAATTGAAGTACAGTAGTCTCTGCCTAAACACATGCCATACAGAAGCACGCTCCGGCCAAACGCACGCTTTCGTCATATGACGGTTTTTTACTATATAATTTAGACGTACAAACGCACAGTCACTCCTTCTAAACGCACGCTCCTCCTCGAAACACGCCGACAGGTAAAGCTTGACAGGGGGGAAATTCTCACTGCAACCTGCACAGCTTGCATAAGAAGCCTAGAAAACCGGATATTTGGTGAGACTACTCCTCACACCGAACAAAGAGAGTGACAGACTTTGTTTTCTCACCCAACTTTCCACGGACACGTAGGTCTAAAGGACTAGTTGGTGAAATGTTGAGGGGTTGGGGAACTGAAATGTGTTTTGATTGGTCACTGGAAATGCATCTTTGAGAGAAGGGTTTCTGACTTGTGTTTGGGTGACTGCATGTAATGTTTAGTTAGACCTAGTTCTATGATGTGCAACATGTGTGAATGCTGTAAAACACTAGATAGGTCTCTGTAGGATTAAAGATTAGTCAAGTAAGCCTAATCAGTTGCGCTCGAAGAACTTATAATGTACTTGTTCAACGAATCACAGGAGAAAAGTTTATCTGAAATGGAGAGATCTATGATTCTAGCTGATGTTGTTGATGAATTTACGGTCGAAAGTGGCTGCATCACTGTGGTTGAACGGTCGCCCTTACTCTTTGACTATCACCAACAGTTTCCTCTTAGGCTATCTGTTCCCAACATTTTGCGGTACATATCATTACATTGAGTCTGTCCTTCTCCCCCTCCCCCCCTCTAGCTCTAGAAATTGAATTCGAAAAAACTGCTTCTTCCCAGTCCTCCCAAAATGGCAGAATGAATGATGATGCCGAACTCTCTGAAAAAATCACTTTAAAATCTCGAGAACGGAAACCATTCGGAGAAATAGAGGTCAAGTTTATTTTCCCGAGCCTTCGGAGAAATAGTCACTTCACAGAGAATATGTGCTGCCTAAGGTCATTCTTTGATTGGTTATACATAAGGATCAATGTAAAGCTCTTGCCACCAAAAACTGATTTTGTAAAAAGAGTCATGGAAAGTGGAGGAAAAAATGCAGAGAAAGTATGGTTGAGTCTGTGATTCATGTTAAACTAAAGAGGAGTGAAAGGAATGAAAAGTAGAAATGTATGATATGATCCGTAAACACCAGAGAGTACTATCTGAGAGTGAAATGAAGAAAGGAAAGGATAAACATGTGGCTTGAACCAAGCCCTGTCAAAATTCTACGATAAATGGCGGTAAATCTTGTACTCCTGTCTAAGATTACTAAGAACAATAATTTAACAGGTTGTTGCATACTAACTTAATTTTAGGTTAACTTGTTTGATGTTGTCAAGGTTGTAAACTTTTAAAATGGAGATAGTGTTCCATGGCCAATGGGAATTGTCATGGGGAAAAGACAGTTCTCATTCAATGATATGGTAGTACCTTGGTCTGGTATTTCTGTCTGCTGCCTGGTCTTCTGGTTCTCTCTCTCCAAGTGTGTGGTTTGTGCCTCTGACTATCAATTGATTCCTTTGTCTATCACTGGGTCCAGGTTGTAAGCCACAGTGGTTGGTATGGTTGACTTATCTCTTAATCTATTAATCTATTGTCAATATTATTTTTACAGGCTTTAGTCTGAGCAAGCCACCTAGGATTGACACATATACACAGTATATATTGTTTGAGAAGTAAATTATTAAAATGTGCTGTCCTTGAAGCACCTTAAACATATTTATCAGGCTTTGCCATGATGTCCTTCGTGTATTCAGAAGAATCATTTCACTGTAAAGACACTTATCATCTTTTGCAGTGATGTCCTTCATATATTCAGAACAATTTCACCCTCAGGTATCCCATATGATGTTGTGCCAGTGATACAAGACAAAAGCAGAAAGGAGTATGGGGAAGTGACGTCGGTCGAGCACAGGTTCATGTATGCATGGACAAAATCTGATCCACCTGAACCAGCAGTGTGAGTATTGGCTGATGTCTTTAGTATGTTAGCCTTTTCCCACAGATATTTGTTTCTAGTCTTTTCCCCAGTCCATTTATTTTTCATCAGTCTGTCATCTTGCTCTGTCTTGTCAATTATTTTGTGGGCGTTTCAAATCCATGTTGTCTTTTATATAATTACAGAAGCTACTTGTTGTTTTTTCTGTGCCCTAGCTGTGCATATTATCTGTGTTCTCTTCTGCCAACTATCAGGAGGGAACACGTTTTACGCCATGTAAGGTTTACCTTATTTTTTATAACATTTGATGTTAAATGGAATCTGGATGTAGCATTCAAATTATTTTCTCGTTTGTGTAAAAGTTTTGACGTAAGTTATTCTATTAAGGTGCCTGTGCATGTGTTTAGATGTGATTGGGAAAAAAAATCCAATACAAAGTTATTTTGAAGAATCTTAAACAAATTCTTAACAATCTTTCAATAGCTTGTCTTCCTATTTACAGTGCCCCTGAAGGTATGCAACTGACAGAACTGAAGAAGGAGCATGCAGAGATGATCCGTGACCATTGGAAACATTACCGTGCCAATGACGGACTTGTGGAGTATTTTCAGCAGGTCATCGAGCAATTTGATAACAGCGCCATCACCACCACGGATGGTGAGCTAGTCGCATACATCTGTATGCAGTACAATGGCTCTATGGCCAACCTGTTTGTTGACCCGGCCTATCACACTGCTAACCTGGGTGTATTACTCCTCCGAGACCTTACGCGGAAGCTGTTAGAAAAACACCAGACGGCCTATGGCTTTATCAAAACGAAAGACTCTGCTTTTATCACCACATGTCAGAACATTGGCTTCTCATGGGTGCCACAGGGAAGCATGTCCTGGGTTAACCACAAACCCAGAGTCCCTGGCTCAAGATCTCCCCTGGCCAAGGTGCCTTCCGCTAATGGTCTGTCTACGTCTCAGGAGGAAAAAGACAAACAAGATGGAGGGGACTCGGAGCTGGAAGTCAAAGATTTGTTTCTGACTGCTCTGCCTTTGTCATGCAACAAATGCTCAGGTATACCAGAGGAAAAAAGGAAGGGGGCCTGCATCCATGTAGGAACAAGTTGAGTGGTTCAGTTCCTTGGTAGTTGTGTGTTAGTGTGTATTATAGAATCAACCTGTGATGTGTATATTATTCTGAGGAGTTGACTTCTGTTGTGATGATTATCGCAAAGGCTTTGTTTCCCTGCTGTTGCAATTAAGGAGGGCAAAAATGAGCAAGAACATTAGAGTCTAATTGATGGTTTCCAAAGTTAACAGAGAAATTTTTCTGCTTAATTTTTCTTTTTGTACTGTTGACAATATAGTGACTGTGCAATGTTTTAGTGTTTTATATGAATGGGAAGTGTGAGGAAAGGGAATCAGCAACTGGCTAGAGAGGATAAGCTGTTCCTGTCTATCTCGAGACTTCTCATTGTTGTCTCTCTCATTGCTATGCTTTTTTGTTGTTATTGTTTGCAGTCATCTTTTCATTTCTACAATGCAAAGTTACAAAAATTGGTTGAAAGTTATGATTTTGAATGGTAATGGTGACTATTTTTAAAAGAAGTTGTTTGGTAAAGCTATGAATTGTTTTTAATTCTTGTGGACTCTGAGCTTTGTCATGGAAGATTTGAAAAGATGAATTTCTGCCATAAGTTTGATAAGGTCGGTGCTATAGAGAGATTAAGGAAGAAAGATTGAGTCTGGTTCATCATTTTCCTTTTTTTCTTGAGTGTTGTTGCTGCACTGTAAAATATTTAATATAAATTATATTAATATGGCTCTCTGGGCTGAGTTGGTAGGAAGAGATTTCTAACCGCTCACCTGTGAAGTTCTGTGATTGTTGTTGCTTTGCCATCTACATAAAATTTCTTGCAAAAACTTTCACAAAGCTGATGTCCTGATGTACATAAATTGTGTTGTATTTTTGTCCAACATCATGAACCCGTTGTGAAATGAGGATCTCAAGCAAGTGGAACTGTAGGCAGCACTGCTGTGTCCTGAAGGGTGCATTTTTGGTGGAGAGACTGCATTTTTAGAACAAAAAAATGTTTTCCCTTGTGTATAATACATACACACGTACTTCATTCCCCCAAGCTATATATTATAATAATGTTCTCAGCCGTGTTTGTATTGGTATATATATATATACCGGTATATGTAAGTCTTTGAAATATCCAGGGAATCACCTGTTATTCTCCTGATAACTTAGAAAAAAAATGTACATTCCACTAGATATGTATATATAGATCTCTATAAACATATATGTTTAAAAATTTAAAGAAATGAGGAATATTTTTGTATGAGCGTTACTTCTTTAGACATTTTGCTTTGTATGGAAAGATGTATATCAGATTAAAGTCTTATCAGTTTACATTTTAATTTTCTTTTGCTCTCTGAAGTCTTGAGGAAAATCTTCAGTTGTGGGTCAACCTTGGTAGGAGCAGTGAAGAGATGTTTTTGTAATGAATGTTAAAATAGTTTGGGTTGGTTGATAGTTTCACTGACCTTCTGCTCTGGTCGTTCCTGTACTGTTCAAACGTTTTCTGAAGTATGATTGAAGGTTTGTTTTATCTTCTTGGACGAGAGATTTGTTAAGATCAACAAATTCCCTTGTGTTGAACTACCCTGCATCAGTATTTTAGGTGAAAGTAATGTGGTCTTGTTGTGTTTTTTTTGTACATAAACATGCTCACGAAATGCAATCTATTTGCCTCCAGTGCTCATGCTTTTGATATAATTTCCTTTCTGTTCGAAATTCCTCAACTTGCATATTTTGCCCTTTTTTTTCTCTTGTCATTGTTTGATGTCTTTTGAGTGGTGCAAATTTGTTTCAGTAAATCTGGAACAATCTTTTAATTTTAAGGAACCTTGTTCTGTTTTTTTAGCTGAGTTTCAAGGAATCTGAGGAAAACTTCTAAAAGAAAGCCGTAATTGTTTTAGGGGTTTTTTGTTTCTATTTATTAGCATGTGAAAATGGAAAACCATCAGTATAATGTAAACCGTAGTTATACAAGAACAGTATATTTAGACGCCAATAGATGTCACCAAAAATGAAAGTGAATGAATAGTTTTTCAGAGTTCTATTCCTCGCCTTTTTTAAAAATTGTTTCCTCATTGTTGAGCTGTCTTGATGAGCTAAGTTTATGATTCATTGTAACTTGTGGGGAAGGTTTTTTTGCATTGGTAGAATTGGTGGTAGATCTGGTATTTGTCCCGTCTTTCTGAGTTTTATCATTAGTGTGTCTTGCTTAAGTACTCCACACTCTCTACTGTAACAACCTCCACACCCCTTTTCAGCTCACACATCATTTCACTGGCGTCTGTGGTGTAATGGTTCCGTGCTTTGCCATTGCATGCTGAAAACCTGAGTTTGGATCCCTTGTTGGGAAATGTTTTATTGAATATCTTTGTCATTTTGCTGGGACGTAGTATCCATCTCAGTCTCAGCCCAGGTTGGTCTTGAGTGATCTAAATTGTGTTGATAGGGGTGTAAAACTAATAATAGTAAGTAGCATTTTTACGTTGCACATTTCCCCACTCATCAGCAAGCTTTGTGCGCTGTACACTCTTCTATATTAGCCCTGCAGATCTCAAAACATTCATAAACATTCTCAGCCTCCCGGAAAGCATACTGGGCTAGCAGTCGATTAAGCTCTGTAACATTAACCAGATGACAAGATCTTTCTCTGTCAAGAGTTAGGTACCCATTCCTATGTGAGTGAAGTTTGTAAAATTTGTGGTGTTGTTGTTATCGATCCAGAGGAAAATTTGTGTAAAAAGTTTGTCCCAAGGACACAGCGTTAGACCCCTGATGGTGTTCGAACCCATGACCTTTCGGTTGTGAGCCTTACAGCCTAAAAACACCTAAATTGATTTAGAAAAAAAACCCACACCCTTTCTGTAACGAATCAACCCCACAAATGATTTATTATTATTGTAGGAACTTAAGGTACACAAGTGACTGGGTACAGCTGAATGAACAGACATGATCTACTTATGTCATCTCTGGTATTTGTCCAATGCCACAAATTTGTTTCAATGTTTGCTGCTGTAAAAGCTGAAAACTAAACACTAAAGTGTTGTTAAGGGAATTTTGTCCCATTTTTCACTTTGAAATGTTGCCTGATAATGTAAATATGTGTGTGTGTATATATATTTACATATATATATGTGTATATATATGCAGTCAAACCTTTGTAAAACGGCCACCCATTGTCCAGGAGAAAAGTGGCCGTATAATACAGGTGGCTGTCTTATGCAGGACTGATCAAAATGAAGAAAGCTAACCATTCTCTTCTGAGGTCCAAACCGGGTTAATCTCAGGCTTTAGACTGCCCTAAGGTTAATTCAAAAGGGTTTTTGATATCTTTTGAAAAGGGGGGGTGGGTGGTGTAAGAAGAGTTTTTCGTGTTGTTTTGTTGGATTGTTTTTTGGTTAGCTTTCTTTACTTTTAGTTGCTGATTTTGTGCAAAGGTAAAAATTAAAATAAACGAAATATAATTTGGCTAATTCAAAAGGGTTTTTGTTTTCTTTTGAAAAAGGGAGGTGGCTGGTGTAAGAAGGGTTTTTCGTGTTGTTGTTTTGTTGGTTTGTTTTTTGGTTAGATTTCTTTTTGTTGCTCATTTTGTGCAATTGTAAAATAAATGAAATATAATGTAATGTAAGTAAGACGATGAAGACTGAGTGCCATGGTAAGACAAATACACGGGTCGCCACCACTCGGAGAACAAGCGACGCTTCTGTCGCAGGTTCACGTCAACGTCCATTGTTACTTTGATACTGATTAGATCAGCAAAACAGTGATCAGTCACCTCACATATGATTTGTGCATGAGCTGTGGGCGGGGCTTATAGGTTATGACGGATGACATGCTTCCCTCACCAGCAGCTGAAAACTTATTGTTAGGCCTACCCATTGGTCAACTTGGGTAAACATTCTTTGGAGGGACTTATAATAATGACAAGTGAATGGATTAAGACGCCTGTCCACAGCGTGAGGGGCCGATTCAAAATTTAAGACGAAGCGTCGGGCGATGAGTGACCACGCCTGGTCGTCTGAGGCAAGTAAAGTTGACCGTGGGTTGATAAAATAAGGTGGCCACAGCCGCGTTGGACAGGTGACCGTTTTACACAGTTAAAATATTTAGAAGAAAACGCAAGGGGGGAAATGGAAAGTGGCCGTTTGTTCGGGTGGCCGTATTATACTGGTAGCCGTCATGGCAGGTTGGACTGTATATTATATATATATATAATGAGGTTGTAAAATTAAATTAGTTCCCCAGCTGCGTCTTTAATGAACCAGTAAGTAGAAAGTGTGGACGCTGAAGGATTTCTTTAGCTTACGATTTGGGTCTATTCTGATGAGCAGCACCTTGGATGTCATGTAAGTTTAAAGAGGGATGCTAAACAAAGAAGAAGCAAAGTGAAATAGTCTATGTCACAGGTAATAAAGTTAAGCTGAAATAAACTTTAAGATGTATCACCATTTCTATGGCTGGGTAGACTGACTGCAAGTGTGCAAGTGCAAGATCTGACACAATATTGGCTGAATATTTATATAACATACTTGATTATTGTGGTACTTTTTCAGTTTCATGTCATATCCATAGCATGTGTGAATGAAAGAACCTTTAGACTAGGCTATCCATGGGAAAGACACCATAGAAATTTACAGGTCTGATTTAAATGTATTGCTGATGTTGGCTATGTGCGAAAATACAGAAAGTTTGAAAGAATTTGCCCAAAAGTAAACAGTGAGTTTTAGAATTGTGTAAATTTCTGTCATTTTTGCATTTTCCTCAAAATTGTGTTTTTATCATGACATACTTTTTAAAGCATTCTGTATTTTGAAGTTTTGATCCCAGGGCTATGAAATTTTTACCAGTTTACATGTAATTGTAAGCATCTCTGTGACAGAGGCTTCTGGCTTGACAAAAATTTAAGTACTTTTAAACAGACAAGTTCGTGATTGAACAAAATGTATTGCTTTTTACTTTTTATAACAGATTTAGATATTCTGTTCTCATTCAAAAACTAGAAAATGTAGTGGAAAAAAAAACTGATAAATTTTTTTACAGAAATTATATGTATGATGGGGCTGTATGCAAAATTTCAACTCATGGTAAAAACATTACACTCTTCAATTTTCTTTGCGTTTGTTATAACTATAGGTGTGTTTTGACCTATGAATAGTTACAAAACACAAATTGGAACTTCACAAAAATGGATTCTGTTATCCAATGAATTAAAAACAGATGCATACAGCTGAAACTAAAAATGGCCTTAAACATAGCTTTCTCTCCATAAAACATTGCCAGTTTACGTACAAATAATCAGTTGTCCTATTGGTGGAAGACCTTTTAGAGGGAAAACACCAAAAGGGAAAAAAACCATACTGTTTTTACTCTTTGTCTTCATTTTTTATTTTCGTTGTTTTTTAAAAAGATTTTTTATTATGGTTTGTTTGCTTTTTGTGCTTGGCCTATGAGTGAGTTCAACCCATGAAGCACATAGATCTATGTTGCACTGAATAAAAGAGAAGTAAAAGCATAGAATGTTAGTTCATTTGATGAAACATTTGACTGCCTTGCCAGGGGGGAATGTTGTTTTGCAGGTCTACTCTTCTGGAAGATTTGTCCAATTTTTCTTTCAACTTAAAACAAAAAGAAAAGAATGGAGCCAGATATGACAAGTGTAAATTGTTTTAAATGCGTTGTCTTATTGTTTGTGTTCCTGTCTCTGTACTTCCTCTTTGTACCAGCAAAAAAGTAAGTGCAAACAATAATACAGACTGCAGTGTATATATGAATGAAATATGTCAAAAATGATTTCACTCATGACTAGTCCCCCACCAGGGCAGTGCTACTGACTGAAGTTGTCTACTACTTTAAGCCATTCCCAAAGGGGTGATATTAACATGTTCTTATGCACAGCAGAATTGTAAATGGGCTGATTTACAATGTCATGCTTATACTGTTGCAGAACAACATAGGAGGAACTGCTGCTTTTTCTCTCCTCATCCTTACCATTGTCATTTTCCTCTACCTCTTTTGTATGTTTGTCACTCTCTTGTGAACTGCTATTTTCGGGGTGCCTTGATAGTGGAAGCAGATTTTGTGTTGCTGAGGCTAGAAAGGTGAGCAGAGTAAGCCTGATTTCCCGTTTAGACTTCTCTGTTGACATCCACCCCTTGGCGCTTATATGACCTTATGCAGTTGCGAGTGCCGTAAAACCTTACTAAAACATAAAACTCATGACTATCAGACGTATCATGTTGTATTTTGTCTATTAGATGCTTGTTGTGGTGGTGAGTGTATGTAAGCTCTGTAAACCTGTCTAGGAAGTTTTGGTATTTTAAAATCCAGAGCTCAACTGAGCATTGTGGTATTTTTATTTTAATGATTCGTCCCAAAATAACAAATGAATTAAGTTTTAGAATAATCTTTCAAGGGTACCCTTGCAAACAGCGGCTTGTGTAATGAGTGTTTTTCTTGTCCAAATATTTCTTTGTCAACTTCCAGGTGTATTTTTCATTCTTTAGTGACAGTTTGAGATAACGTTTAGCAATGAGCATCTACAAACTCAACAACATGATGCTGAAATGTGGCTCGACATGATGGAATCAGGCGCTCGTCAAATTTTGGGCATATGCGGTTATTGATATCATCTTAAAGCCTCTTCATTTGCCTTGTGTTTGGTGAAAAAAAAAAATCAGTCTATGTGAATAGAAGTCGAGATATTTGCAATTGAAAGAGGTGAGGGTCGCCTGGTTTCAGATGTAAAATTAGCGAGCAAATGGCCGCCAAAGTTTGGTACCTTCTATGTCTTGAGAGTCCTTGATGAAAACAAAAATTGACATATTTTGTGCCATTTTATATGGACATAAAAGGTGTTGATCCAAAAAACAAAAATTCAATCAAAATAGTCAAACTGGAGGAAAAATGCCCGTTTCCTTTTGTTTCATTAGTTTGACGAGCGCCTGATTTCACCACGATACCTTACAAATAGTTTCTTTCTCTTCTTGACTTGAAACGTGTAAGTTTTTTAAAATTTGAAACAAATATTTGTTGTTCCAGATTTTTCCCTTAATTTAAAAGGAACTGTATTAGCTTTCATTTGTTACCAAATGCATATTTGTAGGTGTATTTTGGAGGTTCAGGATCAATTTATGGCCTCTTGTGCATCAATAAAGGGCATATGTTTGCTTTAAAAAGGATTTATAGCTCACAAGAGAACTTTAATTTGACTATAAGCATACTGATTTATGTGATCGATACAAATATGACACAATGTTTGTGACAATGTAATGGCTTTTATTTTGTGGGAGAGTAGGGTTTGGTGTACAAGGCTATGTATTCAAGTGTTATAAAGGAGGATCTTCATGCTTTTAGAGCAAGAGAATGACATTTCTCAGTGATTTTTTTTCACTTTTGTATCGTCTAAAGTTTGAACATTCTGAAAAGTGACAAATTTTTATTCTGTGCATCAGCATACTTTTATTTAAAAAGAATGCTGTACACGTTTCATTAAATAACTCAGGGGAACTATGTTCATTGAAATGATTAAGCAGTTTCAAAATTATTTGAAAGTGGATGTGCTT